TTGTCACGTGCCGAATCACCGAGGGATCACCGCGGTAGACACTCTGGGAAACTACAGCCCTCGTGCTGCACTCACTCGTGATGATCACAAACATACACATTAGCAAATGGTTTGACATTTCATTCCATAACATTAGGCAGTTTTGATTTATATGCTTTTTAATGTTTGATGATCACGTTAACTTGCATGAGTGTAAGCAATGCTTCTATCGCTTGTTTCCGCTTCTTCTTTACTTGTGTTTTGATCCGGAATGCTTCAGGAAGTACAAATCCCATCCACTTTCTCTACAACAAAGTTATTTCTTAATAATTATGTATGAAGTTTTTAGACAGACCAACCTGAAGCCAGAGAATTTTAGCTTAATCTAACATAAAATTGTAAAATTCTAGAGTTACACCTACACTAATGCTAAAATAATAAAAAAAACTGGTTGTTTTGGTTCATGGTTTAGAAATAATGGATAAAAAAATGGATGTTTACAATATGTCCAGATGCGTGGTGCACACGTGTGTTCTTTCAAATGTAGGATATCACGGTGGATCCCAGTGCTGGAACTGTGAAATCTCAGTCAAGTAAGGTATCCTCCACAATCTAGTACTTAGAACAACGTGCAACATGGGACAGTGTGCCATGCAAAGTATATTACTACATTTTTGGTAGAGTTTGCACCTGATTTTCATAATTAATTGAGATCCAAAATTTTGCACACAGCACATGAAAATAAAAGGATGCTATCAGTGGCCATAATTCATTCTTAGCTAATAAGACTTGTAGTTCCTTCAAATGATTTGGATATCTGATTACATCTCTTTGCAATTATATCAGCAGACAGAAATAGCCTTTTAAAAATGATGCCACTGAAAGAGAATAGAAAAAAAGAGCTGTTCAAAGAGGCTGCTTTGGCCTCCCTCAAGGCACATCACGCCTGGTTCATTCACACAGAATGTCCCACTGGCGGATGACTTTGATATCGGCCATCCATTAGCTTCTCGCCAAACTCACTGAGAAGATGAAAGGTCCTGGAGCAACATTAGATGTATCATACATGACCATTCAAACTGTTTTACACTCAGCCTTTAACACACACATACAATTTTGAATTCAAATGAATGATGTTCTATTTTAATAATACAAAATCGAAGCATAGAGTAATTTAAAGTGTGTAACATGTACTCACTACTAACAACCTACTCTGTATAGCATCTTTTAACACAGATATTTATATATTTATTTAGATATTTCTACTTGGTACACGATCACATTCTGTTGTAATATTTTTACATGACCAAACATTTCAAAATAATGTGAATCTGTTGACATAGATTGTAGAAGGATTGCAGTGAATTGATTATGGTGTAGGCTTGGATTTTAAGAACTAGGCTGAGAAAGGATTTCTATTTTTTCAGGCAGAGAATTAGAGAGCTGTGGGTGTTGAGTCGTGATGTATCGCATGAAAGAGAAAAACGGAGCAAAATTTCTCTGTCAGAGAGATGGGGCCATAAACCGCTTTTAAAGTCAGCATCAGATGTGAACACTTAAAGTTTAAACACATAATGACCCTCGCAAAACCCATCAAGCACATGTTCAGGGCATATTTCAGTCCAAAATCAAAAGAAATTATGTTTTTCTTTAAGAAAATGAGGTCTGTTTGAGGAACATTGAAGTGCCTATTATTATGCTTTTCAGATATTACCTTTTTTGCAGTGTGTAATATAAATGTGTGTGAATGTAAAAGGTCTGCAGTTTCAAAGATCAAAGTGCAGAGAGTTTTTGTCTCCCAAAGAAATAATCAATTCTGAATTCTGAGGCCCTGTTTACACGAGAACGCTCGCGGGTGAAAACGTAAAAATATTTTATCGGATGTGCCTTTCGTTTTTGGGGCTTAAAAATGCAAAAAAGTGAAACCACCCTCCAGAGTGGAAATCTTAAAAATGGTCCACCGTCGCGTTTCCGTGTAAAGGCCATTGCACACTGAATACGAAATTTTCGTATGCGTTTTTTCGTGTTCGTCAGCCTAAAAATTCGTCACGCACAGAAACCTTGCACACTGAGTCCGATGCGTATTTATTAAACCTTTGCGCGAAAAAACGCAAAAATACAAAATTGATTCGTCAAGCAGTGAGGATTATTTTGTTGCCCTCTCTCTTATTGAAAAGAGAAGAGAAAATATTACGTCCATCCAATCCTGAAATTGCGCCGAGAGGAAGCACCTCCTTATCAATGAGTGTCGAATTTATCGCGAGCGATTCAAAATTTACCTCAGAATGTCAGTGAAACAGTTTGATGCTTTGCTTGCGATTCTGGAGCCACATTTTAAAACAAGACCACCAATTTCCGTGAACCAACCGATCCTGAACAGAGACTGGAAGTTTCAGAGGCGGTGTGCAAGCGTGATTGACATAACGTGAGGTCGTTTTTTTGGGGTTTTTTTTTACGTGCGAAAATTTCGGATGCGAATTTCGGACTCAGTGTGCAAAGGCCTTAAAGGGTAAAAACGCAAAAGTCTGCTAGACAGTGAAGGTTGTCAGCGCGCGGACTTGGTGTTGTTGTGTGGCAGTGTTTCACATTGCCACCTAGCCGCCTGGAGTGCATACTACATCGAATTTCGCACACTTTTGCATCAACATATGCACACGGATTTCCCTACCATAATGCTCGTCTAAACGCAGAATAAAAAGTGATAATGCAACGCCACTTTTGCGTTCTCTCTTCAGATCGTTTCCGTGTAAACATAGCCCGAGTCGAACTCGTCACTAATTCCAATCTTCCTGTCATGATTCCTGCCTGTTTAAGGACTTTTAAGTATTTTCTGTTCATATTGTTTCTGTTTACTTCCATTTTGCTTTGTGTCATGTTTCCTGTCTTGTGTTCCTTTGTCTTAAAGGACTTTTAAGTTGAAGTTTTTTGTGTCTATTGTTCCAGTGTGGTGGAAAAGTTTCTGTTCTCACTTCCTGTGTTTAGTATTGACAATTAATCAACTTCACCTGTCCTGTGTTAGCCCCTTGTTATATTGTGTATTTAAACCCTTGTGTTTCCCATGTTCATGGTCTGGTGTTGTTCTTTCTGTTCTGGTTTTGTCTGCCTTTCCCAGTGTCTTGATTTACTCTGTTTGGCCTTTGCTTGGAGTACTTGTGTTATTTTATTAGTAAACAACTAATACTGCACTTGGATCCAACTCATTTTTATCTCTGGAACCCAGTGTTACACCTAGATAGGTTTGTAACAAAACTTGCTTATTGCCAGCATATGCTCTTCATTGGCTGCCTGAGAACAGTGTGAACAACAACTTTGCCCCTCAAACACTGCAATTATAACTGAGGCCTGGAAGTAGTTGCATGTCAAGAGAACACTATTTTCTGCTGCAAAAAAAATCCACTATTCATGTTTTTAAAAAACATGAGGCTGGAATTGATACGGTAAAACCAACGCTATTGTTACTGTTCGTTTCACTGTGTATCAATTGCTGAGGAAGATCCGGAGCTGAAATTAATTTATGGTAATGAGCATTTCATTTCCGACACGCACTGGAAGCGGTAGACCAATCACAACAGAAAATCAACAGCAGAGTAGGCTTGTGGACAGGAAGGGTTTAGAGACTTAATACTTGATCGAACTGTTCCAGACATTATTAGAAATTAAGTGATGTAGCAATGTACATTATGAGACAATTTAAGTGACCATGGATGCATGTAAACCTATTGTAGGGAAAAAATAAACAGGGCACTTTAAGATATTTTAACATCGTGACATTATTCTTGTGGGAGGAGAATGCAAAAACATAATGATTGTCATTGTAAAATATGCATAGTATTAGTTATAGCATTTTTAATACTGTCAAGTTAAAGAACAATCTTAAAAATAATGTCAAAATGCAGGGGAAAAAAATAGGCTTCATTTTCTCCTTTGCATTTTGGGGTGAAATGTTTTTCACGCACAAACAAAGGGAGATGAAAACTACACATATCCATAATTTTCTTGTTTTGAATGCTTTAAAATAAGCGTTTAATAAGAAGGGGGAATGCGTGAAAATACTGCAATTACCACTTCTCGGTACGTTTCCCTCCAGAGGCGAATGACCTCTCCCACTCTCAGCACACTTTCTGTAAGCAATCTCTCTCCTCTCAAGAGCATTGCGGTAAGCTATAAATACATCTGACACTGCAGCATACTATATTCACCTTTATGAAACAATGTGGCAAACCCGGGGAATTCTCCATCTTCTGCCTGCAGCATTCATCAGACTACATAAATGGATATTTGTTTTCAAATGTTCAAAGTGTACCATATAACGACTGGCTTTATCCTGCAGTGTGCGCTGTGAGTTTTGGAAATGTACTGTAGTGCCCTAAGTCTTTGTTTCCAAAGCACAATATGGGACCAGCATAATATGGGACAAGTGGTGAACGTATCAATACAAATCTAATCTGAAGGATTGATAATAATTATAAAATGATTATTATCTTTATTTTGTAAATTCATTGCAATAAAAATGAAATGCAACAGATGCAACTCTGTTTTAAGAGTGAACTGCATTCTCACAAGAAAAAAAAGTGCAATATTACCTGGCTTACAACTTTTCCAAGAAAGTTGGATAGTAAAATCATAATTTAACACCATTGTAAAACGACTGAAAAGACCTGCTCACACTAAGAACTGTTTATTCTAAGCACACACTGCAGTTTTGTTATCTGCGGCTTTAAATGGTAGATTGGCTGTCAACGTTTTTATCTTTCATCAGCAAAAAAACGGGCTTTAAAGAATAATTCTCTGTGCCATTATCATTATAGTTGTGGTGTGGACTATTCTTTTCAATTTCGAACGATTTTATAGAGTAGATCTTTATAGTTATACTTGGTGTGAACGGCCCTTAATTCAAATCCTCTTGTTGCTTTTGGACTCTTTTGAAACCTTTATTTTAAGAGTGAATAAATGAATTAAGAAATGTAACAAATTCTTGTCATTTATGTTGGCATATTAGTTATTTGTTGAGAACCTCTCACCTCATGAGACAGGTAGAAAGCTGCAATTCCCAGGGGCCAGAAACAGCAGAGCATGGAGAAAACACTGAGGCCCAGGTGGTCCCTCGGAGGCATCAGGAGGAAATTGTCTTCACTCTCTGAGTCACTTGAGTACTCACTCTGCAGAAAACACACAAAACACTGAATGAATCAGATGACAGAGAGGCTTTTCATCAAACTCTCCCCATTTCACATCTTTGTCCTTTTCAGGGAAAAATATGACCAAAAAAGTGGAGTAATGATGCTAACAAGGCTATAGGAGGTGTAAGACGGCAAGGGCCCAATAACAATATAGTAACAATAATGTAGTAACTTAATAGTAACTTAATGTACCTGGTCTTTTTGTACACTGTTCAACGATACATTATAAATCCCAAATAAAAAGTGGCTTATTTTTCAAATATTTTGTCTCAATAAAACAGAAGTTCAGTGAACGGATTGATGAAAAACTCTAAAGAATAAAACTCTTCATAACTGCTTCTTCTAATTTTGTATTTTCCAAAACATTTCTAAAGAATTGTTCTAAAGATTGAATTTGAATTCCTGAAAGGAATTAGGCCTGGGTATTTTAACAAATTTCACGATTTGATTGTGGTTCACAAGCTTGTGATTCAATTCAATTCTGATTTCGATTCAATTCAATATCGTTTTGGATATAAACAATATTTGTTGTCTGCCTCAATATATACCCATTGATGCTGTTTTTAATAAACTGCAAAAGGATTCAGTACCAAGCCTTGTAAACAAAATGAAAAAAAATATTTTGCACCTGGTTTTATCATATGTTCAGATCTATCTACCGAAAATATATGCAAACTTGGGCATATTTAATGAGATAATGCCTAATTTGCATAATTAAACATACAAATTTCAAAAACTTATAACACATTTTTTTATATACTTATGTAAGTAATCAACTGAGGAAGTTTCATGGTAATATCTATTATTTAAAAATCTTACCCTATTCACCTAGTGTTTCGCCTTAAAAGTTGGTATTTTACAAATATATATACATAAAAAAGGCAGTAAGCCTCCAATTTATCTTTGCTCGGACCCTTGACTATCGATCTAAAAACGTAATTTCCTCATTTTGATTTCCTACTTGCAAAAAAACTAGGAGAAAATGCTCCAACGACTGAGCAAAATAGGCAATTTGGCGGCCATTTTGATATGCAAATTAGAAGGTAAAAAACTCAAAATTTCGCTTGGGTACCAGTTTTTTTGGACTCAGCACCCTTGAAATATGTAAGATAGGCCGTTACCCGACTTGTATGCTCCACACTTCTTATAGAAGGCAATTTTTCTGAAATCCGTCTAGTCTAAAAATTTAAAATGTTCTCAAAAAAAGCGACACGTACTGGACACAACAACTCTGAGACCTCGTCTCATGGCAGGGCTTGCAAGTTCACCACTTGATCCCTAAACGGTCATGTGTGAGGGTCCAACCTCCTGGCATATCTAATGCCGAGTTCAAAATGAACAATTTTAGGCCCAAATTTTGCTCTGCGATTCAAAATCCTGCTGTGTGAAAGTGTTCTCACAGAAAACTACACCGGTGATGACCTACAGCCAATGAGAGAGCAAGAAACAGGGCAGCGGGATGTCCGAGGAGGAGAAATAGACCAGAATATCAGTATTTAAAAGGGTTGATGAACTAAGAAATCAAATTTTCCTTGAGCTTTTGACATCTAAGAGGTCATCATATTATAGGAATATCCTGTAAGTTTCAGAACTGAAAACGTCCTTGTTAGTCCAATAAAAGCTTTAATTGACACCTCGCCAAACGACTCGTTTTTCAAAGTGGGGAACTATGACGTCAAAGACGATAAAACACCACCCCCGCAGAAGAAGATCAATGTGGCCGGTTTAGCCCCGCCCACCGATTTGCACATTACACGCATAGATAAATAACATAGGCCTACCTCGTGATGACAAACCGGATCGTAAAAAAAATGGAAAGCACAAACATTTGCTTGACCAGCAGCACATTACAAAACCCCCAACTCTCTTTGCAGAACACACAATCCTTGCTCCCCTTCGTCTCCCCAATCATTTCCTCCTGCGTAATGTTTTTCTTTTTCTTCTTTTCACTGCAAATCAGGGCACAGACAATCTGGGCAAGTTTCGACACGCGATGTGAACGTAAACCGCATTGGCGGTTTATGTACGTAACCGTCATTGTGTTGACCATCCGATCAACAGCAGAAACCTCAGCAGGGACAGCAACTCGAGGCAATTGACCTATGGCTAAGCCATACCCTCAAATGCGATGAGCCAATCACAGTCAGACATTCTCTGCTTCCATGTCCATTGAAATGCATTGCAGTTAGTCAGTTTTCATTTGTTTTTGTTTTTCTTGTCATTTTAAGTTTAAAATGGTCAAACGGTGTTTATGGGGTACATCCAACTCCGACACTAGGTTCCCGAGAGGCTGGGCGACGGTGTGTATTTTTTTTTTTTACCCTTTCCCAAGCCACATCTCAACCGAGATAAGCGTCTACTCTGGATAAAGTTATGCACCAACTAAACGTGGATAAATAAAACAAGGATGTCTACATCTGTTCTAAGTTAAGTCAACAACGTACTGTATTTGAACGTTATCTTTAAAATCTCTAACGTAACGTTAGGCTAACATTAGAAAACATTAACGTTAGCTTCTAGCAGCGTTGTACATCATGTCACTTAGCTTCATTAACTTATATCTGTAAATAAACGAGATAACAAATGCTAACAATATTGTGCTGAATGATTCGTGTAAATACTTAGCCATGGTTTAATTGATATGCCAGCGCAGTCGAGGTTCTGTCCAGATCGCCAAGAATCATGTTGTTTTCAAACTAAAATACAATACTCAGAATCTAAGAGCTCACTTAACATGCCCACACACTCTGCGCTGCTGAGTGTTTAGGTCGAATATAAATAAGTGCTGCATGCTCAATAACAGCAAAACTGATTAAGAAAACAAATAAAGAAAGCATCTGATCATTGCGATGTGGATATATTTGCACAAGCTCTGCTATTCAGCACTCAAGTCGCGTCACGTTTATTTATATAGTGTTTTATACAATAGATTGCTTTAACTGCATATATCTGTAATGTAAAACATAAAAACGATATATATACCTAAATAATCCTGCAAATGTAGATTCCATTGTTTGGATTAAATAATAGTTTTTTTGTTGTTTTGCTCAGGATTTATTTATTTGGTGGTGTGTACTTTATAAGTTTTTTTTTTTTTAATTTGATCTACTTCCTAAAAAAAGGAATAAATCGTCTTTCTTACAGAAATGCAACATATGTTAATATATCGTCTCATAATCTATCGCAATACGTATCATTTCACCAGATTGTTTGTGACACACAGCTCTAATAGAAAGTCAAGGCCACAACACTGGATGATGTTCTTGGGTATGTATTAATCACAGCTTGAATGTGTCAATGATGTGTGGATGCAGACTGATCTCATGAAGTAGCACGTGTATGACACGCCAATTCGCAGTGTTGTAGTCGAGACCACCTCACTCAAGTCCGAGTCGACACCGAAACCAGAGAGAGTCGAGTCCGAGTCGAGTCCGAGACCAGAGAGGGTTGAGGGTTGATTACCTAATTTACTTTTATTTACTTAGAGAAATCCTTTTTTTTTTTTTTTACTGAATTTACTTGGAAAATATGATCAGTTTAGGGTAAAAAGGCCACATAGTAGGTGGTGTTAAAAGTAATTTTATTACAATTTGTCATGCGCAGTTGCGCACTAGAAAATCACCAATCACTGGGCGTGTCAATCAATTTAATTAAATATTTTATTAACATACATTAATAATCATGAAAAATATTTTTAATTGAACTCGAGTGGACTCGAGAATAATTCCGAGTCCTAAAAAAAAAAATGTTCGAGTACGAGTCAATTCCGAGTCCAAATGGACACGAGTCCATGACAAGACCAAGACCATTAAAATATGGTCTCGAGACCAAGTCCGAGACGAGTCCGAGTCTCGAGTACTACAACTCTGCCAATTCGTATTTCCATTTTTGGCGTGCTATCAAGACGCATAATTGCTTTTCAGCGTGTTTATGAACGCCGTTGACTTAACGTTATTACTGTATATATATATGACTTACCTCAACCCCGTCCTTAAACCTAACCGTCACTGGGGTTAATGCCATTTATGACTGTTCCCTTACCATCCTAGGAAAAAAAATGTAGATCTACATTTTGCTTCGTTTAACGCGGACATTTGACGGCGTGTACAGACACGCGGAATCACTCGGACGTTAATGGCGTAGACATACACGCATACACGCGGATAGCTCAAAATGCGTAGAGATAACACGCCACTTGACTCAAAAGTGGCGTGTATGTTTACGCAAAAGTCATGATGTCATGTTGGTGGATGGATGTTTCCTTTTTCACCTTATTGACTACACACAAGGGCATAAACAGCTTGCACAATCTGGTTCTCTTGTGACCAATTTGCACCCAAATGCCCTCTGCATATGTTAACAGATACGGGGCAGAGTGAACTGCCCTCACAATGTCTCAAGGAAGTAGAGACTATACACTAGCCAAACTATACTCGCATTGGATTTACATGAAGATGCTACACTGACCTTAAAAAACATTGACACACCAAGGCTCCAAAACATGCACCTGATGTTTTCATTCGTTCTTTGCAGAGTCTTGTATGTTCTGAGCACTTCCTGTTTTCCCGCATCGTAGTTTTGATCGTCTGCCTGTTGTCCTGGATTTCCCTGTTTGCCTTTGTTTTCTGTCCTGGTGTTTATTGTCTGGATTATCTGCACTGTATCTGACCAATTTGCCTGTTTCATGGATTACGAGTCTGGATTGTCCCAATAAAAGCTGCGTCTGGATCCTCAACCTGTCTGTCAGAGCAGTTTGTTTCAGATTACAGTGTGCATGATGTGATATTTGCCCAAGAGGCTATTCGTTGCATGACAACTTTTAAAGCTGTCATTTTATGCAATCGGTCAAATGTTTTTTCTTCACGCATAAGCAAAGCAAAATTAAATTACTCTATTATAGTAATGGGGATGGGGGGGGGATAATTAGCTATTTCAAATTAATTTTGGTGTGAAATGGGTCATTTTTGTGAGATTCTGAC